AATAAACACCATAAATAATTAATGTTTGTTCCAAACTTTTTTTAAGTTTTGCTGCTTCTTTTTGGATAGCGACACATATTTGGCACAATTTAGTCAGAAGTACAAGGAAATTGGACAAAATGTTTAAGTACTACAAAATTTGGAGTGTACTATTCCTTTTAAAAAAACAAAGATTTTTGATCCTCTCTTAATATTAATCGAACAAAAGTTATGAAAATTGAATTAAAAAATGTTGTTACCTTGCAAATTAATTTTTATAATTTAAAGAATTACGAGTCAATGAACCGTTAATATTTGTTTTTCTCAGGATTATTCACTATTTCAGGATTAGCGTTCATATTCTATGGTAAATCATAATAATGAACCGGAATGGCCGAAATCTTCTCAACAAATTGGATACGCCTGTTTGTTCCTAAGGTCTGATTTTTTAACAGTTTTATGTTTCCTTTTGGCTAAATTATTATTATATTATCCTGATCAGTTTACATTGTACGCTGGCCTGTTGGAAAGACAATATTATACAGGTCCTCTCGATCCTGCCTCGACACCTCACGTCTATATTTATAATTTCAAGGCCTTGCAAATTCTTGAGAGAAAATTTTAAAATGTACACAAGGTCGAAATATACCGCGACTGGTCTGAAAGCGGATTTATAGAGAATAAAATTTATACTATAAAAAAAGAGTACAAGCGAAGATTCTCAGCTTGAGAAGTGGCAGAGGAATTTGCCATGGTTTAAACAAAATGTGCCTTGTAAAACTGAGCAATAATACAATTAGTATTTTGTTGGTTAATATTAGAAAAGTTGGTTTTTTAATTAAAAAAATAAATACATACATACCTATTGATCTACATTTATTTGTATGTTTCGTGAATTTATACCCATCATCAGGTTCTTACATTGCATTATTCCTTCCACCTTGAACACACGGCCTGTCGGTGCATATGGTTATATTTTTTTAAATAGAATATGGATAAAAATAAATTATAAATTTATTTAAACCATGTTTGGGTTATAAATATTTATTTTTGTCTACATGACGTAATATAATACATACAAAATATCGTTAATAGTCTGCTGAATCCTGATGAAATAATTGTTATTTTTAAGGCAGTCTGATCTCGCCCTAATCCTAATCAATTTTTTCCTTTTCTTCAGTAGCAGTTATTTTACAAAAGAAAGAGCTCAAATCAGTATCTTTTAATGCTAGAAAACATAGCCATGTGGTTTTTTCAATAGAAAAAAATAATAATAAATACATATTTATATTTTTGGATTTTTCGTGAATTTACACCCATCATCAGAATCTTGTATTCATACCTTCCATCTCGACCACGCGCCCTGTCGGTGCTTACGGATAATGGATAAATTTTTAAAAATTCAGTATGGATATTAATAAATGTAAATTTATTAAAACCATAATATAATACATACCAAGTATCGATAATAGTCTGTTGAGTCCTCATAGTCGTTATTTTTAAGGCAGTCCGATCTCGTCCTAGTCCTAATCATAATCCTAATCAATTTTTTCTTTACTTCAGTAGCAGTCATTTTACAAAAGAAAGAGCTCAAACAGGTATCTTTTAATGTTACAAAACATTGTTTTTTTAAATAGAATAAAATTAATAAGCACCTGTTTACATTTATTTGGATGTTTCGGGAATTTACACCCATCATCAGATTCTTACATTGTATTTATTCCTTCCACCTTGACCACACGGCCTGTCAGTGCGATGCTCCGTTGAGGCGAGATGTTCTGCCTTAGTGTTAACTGCAGAAGCATATTCTCAGGTTCGTCTTCAAGTGTAACTCGGCGAGGATGTCATCCAGGGAAGTCACCTTTCCCAAAAGCAAGTTCAACGAGCAGGGCAGGTTGAGGAAGCTGGACTGACAGGCGAGATCACAGAAAACCCTTTCGAGTTTAACATTTCCAGATTCTTCATACAACCAACGACACTACGAAGCTCTGAGAGTGGTAAAGACCTTTTAATTGGATATTAATAAATTATAAATTTATTAAAACCATGTTTAAGTTATAAATATTTATTTTTTGCCTATATGGCATAATATAATATTTACAATCGTTAATAGTCTGTTCAATCCTGTTGATGTTGAAATATATCAATGAAAGCTTGGCTTAAACCAGTGTTGTTTTTTTGCTGGTGATGACCTCACAATGATCCTCATAGTCGTTATTTCTAAGGCAGTCCGATCTCGCCCTAATCCTAATCATAATCCTAGTCAACATGTTTCTTTTCTTCAGCAGCAGTCATTTTACTAAAGAAATAGCTCAAATCGGTATCTTTTATGCTCTTATTTCAGAATCATAGCTTGAAGAGGCGAACCTAATTTGTTTGTCAATTAAAATATTGCCAATATACACATTTTTTTAAAGTTTAGGGTTGGATTGGAGTGGGTTTGTTTTATTATTTAATTTACATTATGCCTTTTTTTATAGGTTTATTGACGGCGTGGCTGAGCGAGTGAGATGTGGCCCGATTATCCTTTTTTTTTTTCTTACTTTCGCCTGCACTCCTTTTCGCCAAATCGGACATAAAAGCCATGTGCGCAGTTGGACGCTTATCCTATACGGCCGTAACAAATGCAATTGCGCATTTCCAGAAAATCAAACATCAAGACGTGTTTTTTTTATCTGACTGACAATAGGCCCACATGGATTTGCCAGCCGATTCGGATAAGCCACACTTAGCAGCGATGGCCGTGAAGGGGCTTAACAGTTCCTAAACTGCTTTTCAAGTGTGCTTAACTGAGGTCGTAAAAGCCGCAACCAGTCGTAGACCTCTTTGATTTGAAAGTAAAATGATTACGGACGTAAATAATGCTAGACCAGGTGTGCACATTTGATTGAACCCTTTTATGCTTGTCTTCCTGGTAGCGCGCATTAATATTGCAGTTGAACCTTTCATTCTTAGACCGGCTTTATTAACCATGCAACGTTTGCAAACCGAGTAACGCATTTTTTTTTTTTTTTAATCAAACAGCAATCGAACAGTGGTGAATGACCGGGTTCTGGATCCGCACGTTCTCGCTGATCGTCTTCCCCTACGTCATCTAATACATTATTCTGAATTAATAAAATAAATTCGCGAATAAAAATGTTCAACCATCCAGTTGATTTTGTGAAGAATAAATTAACGAAGCATGTTAATTTTTTTTTAGCAAAAGGTTTATTTTAATAAAAACCAATAAATCTGACAAAAATTAATTAATTAAATTATAATCGACCTTAATTAAAAAATATTGTTCCATATGCGATTCCCCCCCCCCTTTGAATAACCGGTTTAACTCTTTTGCACCTATTGTGGTACAGAAATAATTTGAAATACTTTTTAAATTGAATAAATAACTTTTTCTCTCTCTCCAGATTTTAGCAGAATTCATAAACATCATATTATTTATGTAGACAACTTATATGTCAGCTTGATCAACTTTGATTACAATACTCGTGGTGCCAACAATCTTATTGTGCCGGAATGTAGATTGAAAATCTCTAGCAAATCCTATATGTATGTCCTTTCTCCACTCTGTTGAGGATGATCTTTTGTCTTTTTATTCCATTGATCAGTTCTCAAATTTTAAATTTTAGTTTTGTCATGCATTATTTATATTTTTTCTATTGTTTTTTAAACTTGCAACTAGCATTTCTGCTTACTGATGACTCATTTAAATTAAGGTTTTTATTATATATCTATATGCTTGATAGATTACTTATGTACCTTTGATAAATAAAAAATAAAAAAATAAATTTACGCTTATTAAAAAAATTGGGTGATTTTGGTCCATCTTAACCATCTGAAGACACAAACGGTCCATTCCATAAAATCAGTACACTTTTAAGAGAGTGCAGCACGTGTCAAACTACAAAAATCTTCATTTTGTGTACGACACAAGCATACGAATTGTTCACGACATACAGGGTTTTTCCAAATTTACATTTAAACTTCACAATGTTCGGTTTTATTTTTGTTCTTTTTCTGCAACAAACTTTTGTTTGTACAAGCGTTTCATTTTTATTTTTATTTTTATGGTGTGGTCTGTGAATCTTATCTTAAGTTATCTTGTACTTTGTAAATATGATAATATGAAAGTTGCAATATTTATTCAAATCAATAAAATATAACTTATTGTTGGTCCTGGTGACAATTGTAAATAAATTAGTACACAGTAGGAAGTAAAAGTGCTCCACCACTTTTTTCCCTATTTAAATCATTCTTTGCAAAATATATACTATGGTAATCCATATTTGCTTAGTGGTCATAATTGGCCATGTTAATTATTCCAATAAATTATTATTTTAATCTAAGGTTTTTGATTGAGATTGGTGTCATGAATGAGATTCGAGTGATCATGACTCAAGTGGTTAGAGCAACAGCATATTGAGCCGAATGTTGAGTGTTCGGATCCCACTCGTGACACGAATTTTTCATCTCAGTCAAAAACCTTAGATATACACTAAGGTAAATGTTAGAATGAATTGGCCTCTATGTGACCTTTGCACAGTAACCAAATTTGGTTTATCTCTATCTTGCAATCTACATTATTACTTACAGCTTATTTAAGTTTAAGTCTTTTTTGGATCTTAACACGCTTGTTTTTGCTGGTCTGAGTCTACTCTTTACCTCCAGCATCTGCAAAGTCATCAGGACAGTCAATCAATCCTACTAGCATTCTAGTCCAATATGCCTGATAGTACTTTAATGAACATTTTTACAAATCACTCTCCTGGAATACATTCTCATTGAACCGAGGACATATTTTTAACCCATTGCCTGATAATTTTTGGTAATTTGGTATGCCACAAAAGTATTCATAGCCGATAAATGTAATGATTGAACTTTCTTTAGTCAATTTATCGGCCTCCATGTTGCTCTGTGTCTGTATCCTAAAATTTGACTAAATAAATTCTAAATCTTCCTATACTGAAAAATAAATATGTAGAACAAATTACTTTCAATCAGCCATTATTGAATAGAACAAATTTATAAATAACAAATATTTACACAAAATGTTAATAATAAATACATTGTATATAAAAGTTTTTTGTTGTTTTTTCACTGAGATTTGTGGAATGTCACAGTTCCTCTTAAAGCAAAGTTATCACAATTTATCATATATTTGTCACATGTGACTTTTCCGCCTGATCCAAGAGAGCTTTAAGGTTGGAATCGAAAAGCTCGCACCTGATCGGCATGTCGAGTGAGTAGAAAGGGTTCTTCAGTGCGTAGTCGGCATACAGCTCGTAAATCTTTCTCAAAATCGTGTCAAGCCCTGTCTGCCCAGGTTCAGATATTATCATGAACTTCACACCTAATAATAAAATATAAAAAAATACATAAATAATTTTTGTTTTAGAAAAGTGATATTTTATATAAATACCAGTCAGTGTTTGGAAGCACTCCAACTTGAAAGTGTCGGCTTCGAGGACTTCAATGCCGGAACTTTTTGGCTCCGGGCTCAGCTGGCTGGCGAGTGCAAACAAAGGATAAAACATACTGGCAAGAAAGATCTTTTCATTCGTGGTCACTTTGGGCTTGGTGAACTTTAAAGTCAATGGGTAATTTGAGGCATCCTCGATTACTTCAAAGGCATCCCTACCATCATCTAGTTGAGTACCGGTCACAACAATGCCGTTTATTTCTATGAGGACATGTCCAACTGAAATGGAAATACTCCGAATTAATGTAAAATAGTTACAAGGTAACAGATTTATAGAAGGGCCATCCGCAAGACTGACAAAGGAATTACTGAAACGTAACTGCAACAGAACCAGGATTTGGGTTGGACTCTTGACAAGGCACAGCTGGATAGGAGTACAAACAGAAGAAACACTATGCAGAAACTCCAGGAAGAAGTGAAAACCGCGGAACATGGGGATTTTGTACGTTTAGATTCTTGCAACTAGGAGAGGAAAAGCCACAAGGCAGGTCCTACACTAAGAAGCTACTGGCTAGGCTATGGAGGTTGATTAAGAACCTGATGCGATAGCCAATTATTTATAAAATTTGAGGAGCATGATAGGGATGTCAGGATGTAGAATAAGGATGTGCAGAATCCGTACGTCTCCAAACTCACTGAAGAGGGCAAAATGATGAAACACACCTCTCAGACCAACCCGGCGAGAATAGGTAAACCAGTGTAATTGGTAAGGATCAAATTAGGTTCAACACTTTGCAGACCATAGGAGGAAAATTCACAGTTTAATATTAATTTATTTTAAATAATTTCATGTTTTTTTATATCAGATCCTACAAACATGGGCTTGTAAGTTTAAATATAGTGTTGGTTTGAATTTGACTAGGTAAACAAGCAAAAGTAGGCGGACCCAAAATGATAAGATAAGACTGTCGGGAACAGTTTATCAACTATAAACCGGCATACCCTTCTTAAATAGTTTCTTCAACAATTTCTCTGCATTTTTAAGTTTTTGATTTTTATTTTGACTAAAATCTAGTACAAAAAAATATAAAAACGTACCCATGACACCGTCGTGCTGGCCGAAGGAAACGACAACGCGTTTGTTCTCGTTGACCAATTTGAAATCAACTTCTTCCGGGCTTTTGAATGTGCACTCGTTGACGACGTTGGGCACGTTGTGGTCTAAGTCCAGGTTGAAAATCAAGCCCCCGGACTTAGAAACGATGTAAACACCGTATATGACCATACCTGAACATCAATTTATCAAAACGGAGATTTCAATCCAAAGTTGTAACAGCAAAAAGAACCTTCTAGAAAAGGTTGCACAGAAGCAGGTTAGGATGACGGAAAATGTTTATTTTTAGTAATTGCTGAAAATTTTTAAGATTTGGTAAGGAGAAATGTGAAGTTTGCATAGTTTTATTTATATCGACCTGCACTTCCTATAAATAGGCCAAATTCGTTTGGGAAAGAGTACCCCAAGAAATGACACTTGAGAATTATCAAGACAGTTAAAAATTAAAGATTTTTCCCAACTTATGTCAATTCATTTCAACCTAAATGGAAAACATCTCAGTGAGTAAGTCCAAAGATCATTCAATAATAAAAATAAAACAATGGATTTTTTAGGGTATATTAAGAGCTTTAGTCAGAGGACTTTATGACAGCCTGAAAGGCACAATAGTCATATTTTATTTGGATAAGCATATAAATGAAAAAGCCGAAAGAAGCTCTCCATTGAGGCATGACCTATCAAAGCGAGTAAGCGAAAGCCCTTTTGTTAAAAAGGAGAAAAAACCACAACCTCAGTAAGTTACAAATATAATAATAAGCTTTATTTCAAATTTTAAAAAAAATCTACAAGAATGTGTGGAATGGACGATATCCATCTGCCAGAGATCATTGAAAAGAAAAATTAGACATAAATAAACAAATTAAAAAATACATAATTTAAAACAAACACTTGAAACTAAATTTAACCAAAGATAAACTTAAATTCAAACCAATTAATTATTCTTGTATCTAAGGGTTTAGGTTGAGATAAAAAAATAGTGTCATAAGCGAGATTTGAACCCATTACCTTTGGCTCAATTTACCGCTGTTCTAACCACTTGATCATGACTTCGATCCCCTTGGACACCAACTCTTCATCTCAACCTACAATCGTTCAAATTTTTCCCTCTTTACATATTTTCATATATATATATATATATATTTTCAAATGTCATGTAATCAGGATTCGATTCTCTTCAGTTGGTTAATTGATTTCTAAATCTTTTTTGTTACACCAAAGAAGATTCCGCATGATCAGTATACATAACAGTTTAATACAAAAAGGTACTATGGTATGTATCGTATCACTTTGCCCCAATGGGCACAAGAGTGTTGTGCCGATAAAAGTCGTATCGGGCGATTAAAGATCGCTTCATGTTGCATCACTATTGATCGCCCAAGTGGGCACTGCGTAAGATAAAGGTCCTTAGAAATATTTTCCCCCTGTATCTTTCCAAAATTCAGGGATATGACCTCTGTTGTTGGGAACTCCGTTTTTAAAATTAATAAATGAAAAAGTATACACTTCGGAGAGAAGTAATTACTGTAATTATTTAATGTTCATTTTTTTAGCGACTTGTTCAATAATTTGTTGATGTGGTGAAGAGCCATCAGGAACGAAGTATTATAGAAAGAACACTTTTTTTTTTTTTTTTTTTTTGGCTGACGTTTCGATTTTTATTCAGGTCATCTTCAGGGCCTGGGTGAATTAGAAATCATATGTTGATTGTAGAAAAATACAATACAGATGTAAATAGTTCAGAATTTATACTATTTACATCTGTATGGTATTTTTTTCCAATCAACATTTGTAATTCACCCAGGCCTTGAAGATGATATGAATAAAAATAAATTATTTATCTCCATATTGATGTTTTTTAGACTTAGGGAAATAATGCATGGGAAAAAGAAAAACTTTTGAAATATGGTAAAGTAAGATAATCACAAATATATATATATATATATTTTTTAAAGTTGTTGATTTTACTTACTTAAATTACTTTATTATAAAAATAATTGAATAATTATTGTAGCTATTCTCTAGTATTTTTTTTAATTTAATTTTTCTTCAAATATTAACAAAAGTATGTTTTTCTATTATTGTTTACAGAGAGAAAAAGGTTCTGAAAAGGACATTGCAGTGTTGTGGCCTAAATGGAGGTGTGTTTTGGTTCAGCATATTGCTTTTTGAGTGCGGCTTGTTGCCTTTGGTCAAATATATTTTGTTCGTTGCGTTTGGCGAGACTTCCACAGTAGGCAGTACAGTGTGGTCGTTAATCCAGTCATTCCTTTCGCTCATATTCAGTACGGTTTGGGTCTTGCCGTTACTCCTGCTGAGCAAAGTCGTGAACAGTTTGTGGTTTCAAGTAAATGACTAGACTATATTTAATCCTTTTTTAAATAAGACTATACTTAAGTAGGATCCGTGTATTTATGTTTATTCTTTTATTTTGTACTTAGGATATAGCAGACTCTGCTTATAGACATAGTAGAGGGAGACCTCAGCTTCTTTCTAGCTTTGGTAAACTGATAGCTGACGCCTTGTTTAGTGTTCTCATACAATTTTTGTTTTTAATTCAGGTAATTAAATAGATAAAATTATTTTAATTACTTCATCACATGTAGAATTTTTTTGTTTTCAGACGCTTTTAGTAAGCTATTTTCCTGTTAGCCCATTTGGCTATTTATTTTCTCTAGTCCATACTTGTATGTTGTACTCGTTGTATTCCTTTGAGTACAAAATGTACAACATGGGTTGGGAATTGCATAAAAGACTCAATTTTATAGAAGCTAATTGGCCTTATTTTATTGGTTTTGGATTACCATTAGCTTTACTTACTAGCCTAACAAATTCTTACATTGTCAGGTAAAACAACATCATTATTGTTATGCAATTGTTTTTACTAAAAATATTTTTTGTTTCCAGTGGATGTATATTTTCAATTTTGTTTCCTCTATTCATCATAAGCGCCAACGAGGCAGATCCAGTCCGCAATTCTACGTGCGTAATTAATTAATTCAAATCGTTCGATTGTTATGAATTTAATGCAATTTTTTAGGACATCACAGCTCCAACTATTCTCACCAGTTATCGCTATTTCAAATGCCCTCTTTCATCGAACCATGACTCCATACATTTCTGATAATCGCCCAAAGCTAGTTCATCGCAGCTGATTTGATTTAGGGTAATGTTTGACCAATTTTTTAAAATTTAATTAATAAATGGCTGTGCTGTTTTTAACAGTGATTTTTTTTAATATCAAAGTGATTTTTTTTTTTTTTTTTTTTTTTTGGGAGGAGGGTTGCGGAGTGTTTAATAATAAAATTTAGGCAAGTGTAAGGTAGACGGTAGATGGTTGTTTTTTTTTTTTTGCCATATGGGTAAAAACACCCATTCTCTATGTGCTTAAGCTTGTTTTGTACGTTGAACAATGATTTGTACATGTAAAAAAATATATATATATATTTTTAGGGTTCCAATGTAATTTATTGTAATGTTCAAATTTATTCCTAGAACACGGGTTTCTATTAGGAAAAAAGGGGGAAATAATTGTAAATAAATACTAGAATTTACTGAGTCTATTTATTTCACCTTCATTTCATACAACGTTTACATTAACAGATAAATTTTCAAAACATAAAACTTTCTTTTCTAAGGATATTTTAACAACTATGAGGTTATATGAATCCTGTGTGCTGGTTCTTTAAAAGAAAAAAAAAAACAACAACATAAAAAACACTTGTAAGTTGAGTTCAACCAGCAACCCATATCAACACTAACTATTGCGGCCAGCAATGCCCCAAGGGAATCTAGCATTAAGCCATTGAACTTGACGTACAAGAAGATAAAATTGTAAAGTACTTGGCGGTTTTATTTTTTTTATTTTTTTTTATTATTATTATTTTTTAATTAGAAATTTAGAATTAGATAATAAAAATAAAATAAATAAATAATAAATTTAGAATTAGATAATAAACATATTCTTTTTAAATGTCTTACTATTACAACCAAACCAATTTTTGGTATGCAAAATATGAAATACATTAAAATTTAAGGATGGTAAATTTATTTTGAACATTAGTATATACTGTCAACACTACTCTTTATTTTTCCTTTCGTCTATAATTTGTAATCATCTCAATTTATTCCATTGATTTATTTATTTTCACATGTTGCTGTAAATGATCGATCAATGTAAATGAGAATCCATTTATGTTTAGTGGTCATAATTGACTATTTAATTATTTCAATTAATTATACTTTTTATACAGTCTAGGTTGAGTTGAAAAAATAGAGCAGCAGCGTATTGAGCTGAAAGTTGTGGGTTCGAATCCCGCTTGTGACACTAACTTTTCATCTCAACCAAGACTTTGGATAAAAAGTATAATTAATTGAGAATTCCCTCAGATGATCTATTGACTATGAATAAGTTTTACTATTTGCGTTATTGATTTGTTTTATTGAAAGAATCAATTATTATTAGTGTTATACAATATGCAAGAACTGCATTGACGGTTTGCATAAAATAGAACAATTCTGACTTTTTTTTTTCTAAAAAAAAGCATAAATTATCACTGTTAAATTAAGTTGATAGATTTTATCTTATTATTATTAGCTTTTTAGGGCGTTTTAATGGCTGAGGACATTTCAAGCCCTAACTGATATAAACTGCACAAAAATGAATAGAGAAGTTTGTAATTTATTCTTATTCTATTGATTTTATTTAAATTAATCGATATATTCTTGTTAGTTGGATAAAAGAAAATAGAAAATACAAACCAAAAACAAACAACTGTTAATCCTCATTTTTAATTATGGATTTACTTAAGAATGGTAAACGTGAAGATTACTCATTTTAAACAAACACCTTTTCTCGTCTTTTCAACATTTTAATCCAGTTGTATTCTCATTAACCAACCAAACATCAATGCCTCAGGGCGAAGCAATTAAAATAGTAATAAAAAAAGAAATTTGAAAATCTCATTTTGGATTAATATGATGATTATTTTGTTATTTGTTCTTTTATTAATATTAAGTTTTTTTAATGGTCAATATTATTTATTAGGATAGTGATAAGCTACTAGAGCTGATCTGTTAAAAAAAAATTATTATTCTTGATAGTTGTCCCTTTTATTTGTTGGTTTATTAGGGTTGTTAAGTTTATTTTTGTTTTTTTAATAGTCAACACTATTCAATGCCACATTTGTTTAATGCCTTAAGGCAGAGCAATTAAAATAATCAAAAATATTTTTAGGCCAAAGCCCGCACAGGTGCCCCTTATGCAGAGAAAGGTTGCTCAATGTGTCCCATATAATAGAAGTGTCATGCCCTGGCTCCATACAGAGAGCGTGTAGGCATACCGCCGGATTTAAGAATGGTTCTTGGACACGGTAGGGAGTTTCATGGTCCCCTGTTCTGCTTTTTAGGGGAATTATGCATTTTTTAAAAATTGTATATAGCAAAATATGTGCTCCGTGTTTCTGTGTCTTGTAAGAGTGTATTTATTAGAGTGAATGGGGAGGGGCTAATGGTGGAATAGCATCCACATCGCCCCCAATTAGATTAGTTTGTTATTGTGTGCCAGTTGACTGAAAAATATTGAGTTGATTAGTTCGTTATTGTATGCAGGACGATTGAGGAATATTGAGTACTCCCTCTATCCAATAGAATGAATGCAATGTATACAGGTGTGAATGTATTTATTTGTGTGAATGCGTACTGAATGTGTGTTGTATTTCGCATGCGCTCGGGGCTGAAATGACCAAGCTGTCGGATGCCCCTTAAAAAAAGAAGAAAAAAAGTCAAGTTGAAATGTTAAAAGCTCGTTATGGATTAATCTGATGATTATTTTGTTATTTGTTCTTTTATTAGGATTATTGTTTTTTAATGGTCGGTATTATTCATTATTATTATTTATTATTGTTATTGTTTATTTATTATATTACCAAGGCGAAGCAATTAAAATAATAATAAAAAATCACCAAAAGAAAGAATTTTGGGTGACCACGTGCAAACAGCAAACAAATAGTTCACTGGTTTTCTTGTCAGCAATGTCCAAAGACGGACATCCCACGCCTTTTATGAAATTATTTGATCCTAATCTCATACACCAGTTGGATTAAATAACGAACCGGGTGTAAATCGTTAATAGTTTATTTTTAGGATAATTTCACTGGAATTGGAAATGACGTAGAGTCAGTTATGAGTAACATACCGACAAGTCATGTCATGTACCAATGGACCCCTCGGTTTAATGATCAATTCACCAAAGAATTGAACCTTAAAGGTTCCTCGTTATAAGGTTAATGTCCATATTTTTTCATTGTTTTGATTATTTTTGTACAATCATTTCCTTTTATATAAAAAGTCCGATAATAGTCGTTGATTGTGATTGTTAGACAATGTTTTTCTAGGCGTAAATGATAAGAGTTGAATTATTGATTGTTAATCTTATTTCATTATAAATATTTATTTTACCTTCTTTGATATTATGGAAGTACAAAATAAATTCAAGTCCTTGACCTGTGGTTGATTCACCATATTCATCCTTGGAAGCTGGATTTCGGTGAGTGGTTCCTAGTTGGATTTTTTTTTCCATTTTAGTTTGCAATCACGAGTGAAAGCCTCGATGAACCTTGACTATGCTTCCAGGAGATGGAAAACTCGCAAGAAGAGGTATTTTCCGGGAGCTCTGATGGAGAGAACATCCGTCTTTCCAAGTTCTCCATATACCACAGCGCGCAGGATCTTCAGGATGCTGTGATGGAGGACGTCGTGCTGGTGCCATCCGAAGACTCTACCCCGAAGGTGATTCGACATTTTGAGTTTTGGATTTAATTGAGCCTGTGCCAAAAAAGCCACCCCACCTCTTTTGGTGTCCGGCTATTATTATTTAGATAACTGGGACCTCTTAAACAGATCGTGTTGTCATTTGTTGTTTCTGTACGATGCTACTTTCACGCGATGCGAGAATGTGAACGTTCAAATCATTGAAAAAAGTAGGTATTTTTAGACAGTAAAAACTTGTACCAAATGCTGAAGATTTACTCGATTAGCTCAGTAAAACCAGTACTTAAATTAACCTTTTATATTAAAAAAGGATAGGCTAAATTGATTAATAAACAATGTGGATATAGTCTTTGAAAACATTATTTTTCATTTGATTATTTACTGACATCTACATTTTATCTCAGTAATCGGTCCGCCCCCCTTTTTATTACTGCTAAAAAGCAATTTTTTCATTGATAGAGCTAGTTTTTTGTCATGTTGGAGATGTACACTCCTGTAAAATCTCTTCTTTTAGACGTTTTTTTTTTCTTCTATTATGCTGCCTTCCAGTATGATCGCAAATGACAAGTGCTGGTTAGAGTTTAATCAGAGTAGCCTCTATACAGGGTGATTCATTACTCGTATGACAAAGTTCTTCAGGTGCTTGTACACCTCGTATAAAAACAAAAACGTTTGTGGTCTGATTCTCAACCCTTTCACAAATATTAAATTTTTTATTTATTTTTCCAACAATTTATTAACTAGTCATAAATCTACTCATAGCTCTCGAATTTTTGGGAAAATTAAAAAAAGCATTGAAAAGTATGTTAAAAAGAAAAATTCAAGTAACACCAAATGCAAAAAAATTACACTGAATTTTTTATGTGCTTTTATTCTTTGGTTAAAGTTGCGTTTTACAACTTTTTTTTTGTCTGTGTTTGGTGTTAAAGTTAAAAAATAAATTTTGCCCAGAACAATTTTTTTTTTCTTTATACAAGTGTATTTTAACTACAAGTTATATTAAACCTCGGGGTGCCAAAGTTTTTGAGAAAAGTCCATTTGTATGTCAGGTTTGAAAGCAGCTTTACCTTACAGACATGCGCGCCTGTCAACGCCTAAACCATCGCAGTCACAGACTCCCCTGAACAAAAGTTAAATTACTAGATTAATCCCACTTCCGCTTTTTCACACCGTCACCACTTTTTTTCCCATTTAGCGTAAAATTTTTGCATTTTGGTTCGATATTATTAAAGAAAAGGGTATGTCACTGGAAAACCTATGGAACGAAGAAGTTGTTAAGAAAATTTCCAAGCTCTATCGTGAATTTTACCAATGAGGTCGCAAATTTAGTTTATTTTACAAATTTTAAATTTAACAAGTTTTGAAAGATGTAGTTTTTTTTTTAAATAAAAAAATAAATCAAAAGTTAAAGTCAATAAAGGTACCTTCTTAATGGAAATTTAATGCTCTTTTCAATGCTTTTTATGATAAAAACCATAGGTACAGTCAACTCTTGATAATTCAAGGGTCCACAAAAATAACTAGAATTATCAAGAGGAAAGAAAAAAACGTTGATATGCATTTTTCCAAGTTTTTAATTAAATTGTTCATATATAAAACATGTAAAAAAATTAAAAAGCAGTAATAGATCAACTATAAAAGTGAACATTGTTATGCTTTATTAAAAAAAAAATTGTGAAGTGGTTTCTGTTTCAATTTTGTCTGGCGTCCTTTGTTTAAATGGTTTTCCAGAGTGACCAATGCTGATAACAATTGTCAAAACACTAACCGCCAAACATAATAAACTAGAGAAAATTGAAAGAAATTTTAGACTAGAAGGAAGTAAACAAAATATGAAAATTTGGAGGAATATTACATAGAATAAGTTCGAATTATAAAGAGAGGATGTGGCTCCATTTCGAGTGGTAGCATGAACTTTCTCCCCCTGTTACGAAAAATACTTCATATTACCGAGTGTATCAAAATACACAAAAAAATTTTCAATTTATCAAATTGACCTGCTGAGGAGTTCGTATTATCGTGAAATTCAAATTATCCAATTTTGAATTAACATGAGTTGACTGTAAAAACATAAAAATGTAGAATATGTGTGAAAGGGTTGAGAATCAGACCATGGTTCAAACTTTGTAATACGGGTAGTGAATCACTCTGTACAGTTCATAATTTATGTAGTAGTCATAAGTGACTAATTAATTATTATAATTAATCCATATATGTTTAGTGGTATTAATTGACCATTTTAATTATTTCAATTAAATAATATTTTTATCTAAGGTTTTGATCTCAAGGATCTCATCATTTATGTCTAAATTGTCAACTCCTCTATAGCCCATGCAGTCCCAAACACCCCACCCTCCTTCCCAATCTCATGTTTAACTGATGGTAGTTTTTTAATTTCATGTGATTCCCTAGCTTATGCTACAATTTTTTTTCTTCTTTTGGCCTCTGAGACATAAATTACCTCACATCTGTAAAAATAACATTCTCCCATCAGGCTTTCTTAAATAATCTTTAGCAAACTGGAGATGCTTTTTTCTGTTCTGATGCCCTGGATATCAGATGGCTTGGCAGAACCCCACAGATCCATTCCGTTTGTCCAACGTGGCTACAGAAAAATCTTGTCAAGACGGATTTTGGTCCTAGAAGTCTTTGTAATTGTCCAAGTGGTTGAGTTGTTGTCTTTTCAGTCAGATGCATTTTGGCATTTTGCCACCTTCAGTGGTGTGTTTGTGTTATTTTGATATAAAGATGAATATAGATTTATTAACCACACTCGCCAGCAATACAATTACTAGGGTTTTTTTTTTTTTTTAAATAGATGATAATGGGAACTTGCAGTGGTTTCAATTCTCGTCTGGGGTTTTAATGCCAAAGAGAGAAATTTTTGAACTCTTTGAAAAGATCTGTGAAAAAGGCTTGCTTCCTTTTGTTCTACTTATGTATGTAAGGGCTTGTATTGTGAAAGGAAGACCCTCTGAGCGCCATGAGAACGTTTTAAGAACAGTATTTACTTTAAGTCCAGGAAATATGAGAAGAATTGGCCATAAAGTGTCATTCACAGTCCTTTATAGGTCCATAATGGAGTTAATTAAATTTGGATTTCAAACTTTTGACTGTACCATTGTCAATATTCTCAGCATTGAAAAAATTGTTTCTAGAGCATTGTCCATTGTTTTCTCATTTTTAAACAATGGATACCAGGAACTGGAGGAGGTCTCCTCCCTGTTTTTACTTTTGTTGGTGGTTAGATGTAGCTATTGAATATTCCAAGAATAATTTAAGAAATTTAAACATTTTTTGAATGTCTAAATCATTTAATTTTGTTTATAGTTAACCAATTATTGGAATATAAGGGTAAAATAATTGATGTCTGTAAACCATCTTTATCACAAAATACATTATTATTATTATTGCAGGCAAAATCGATAATGTTCTCAGATGGCAAAAGATCGGTTGATTTTGTTCTTGGCTGGCTGGAGGACTACAAAAATGAAAATGCGACTAAGGACGCGAAAAGGGAGGCGTTCGAGAACCACTTGCAGGAGGAAGGGCTCGAAGTGGAGAAAGAAATCACCGACAGGCTCCACATAGTGAAATTGCACGCTCCGATCGAAGTTCTCAAGAGATATTGCGAGATATTAAAAGTCAGGATGCCTATGAGAGAGGTATGCAAACTGTATTTTTTACAAACTGCTGACGACGAGCGAGTGTGATTAATAAAAAAACACCGCAGCCTTTGACACTTTTTAAAAATAACACAATTGCTAATAACCTGTTTTTTATTTTCTTTCCTTTTTTTAATATATTTAATACTTTTTTTTTATTAACGCAGAAAAATTGGTGTTAATTTTTTTTTTCAGTGTACACTACTTTCTTTCACTACTGCCCACTACTAATCATATGATATATTTTTTTTTTACATAACAGGATTGTGAAAAAAAGGAAAGCCCACAAAACTGTCAGGCGGTAGGCATTAATTTAACAATACCTCGCATGCCATATTTAACGTTGCAACCTAGAGTGCATGCTACGTAAATGTATAATTAATAAACACCATTGTAAATAAACGAATACGAGCTTTCTTCAAACGATATATAAAGAAAATGACAAAAATGACAATTTAAACGTCGCTTTTACAATTTATACATACACAGTAATTAAAAATGTTGTAAATATTACAAATGACTTCGATTCATATTGATGAACAGGTAAGAAAAATAGCTTTAAATAGTAAATGGGCTGTTGCATAATTTTTAGCACTTTTATGTCATAAAATTGTATCATTGTCTAAAATTTTATATTATCATTATATTTTATTAATCATTTTTAATATATTATTTTCAAACTTTTCTAAAATAGTAAATAAAAAAAAATCTACTTAGTGGCCCATTTGGCAGAAGCAACCAGTAAGACAGATGAACATTGAACAATAGGCTGAAAATTGTGAAAAATACAGGAGAAAGGTGATAGTGTATTAGTCGTTTTGCTTCTCACCATCTTCATTTTTTAATTTTGGTTAAAACCCACCACTGAAGGTCAAGTCGAAACGCATTGATAGACCAAAATGTGACCGTCATGGGCAAAACATTCAGAAAGGACCAAACTACAGGTTCGTCACCATGCAGAATATCACATGGTTTGGATGAAAGTGTAACGAAAAATCGGCAGTAGTTTTTAGTGGGAAAGCTAAAATAACCGATCATTAATAATAACACAAAAAACTATATTTCCCAAAATAAAAATAAAAAAAATTCCTCACAACTGAAATATGTTGAGATTTGCAAGATTCTACTGTAAAATGTAAGATGCAATGTTGAAGTTAAGGAACAACAGCCTTCTGGTTTATTGTACCATCTTAGTTCCCTACTTCATGGCAGTCGACTCGATCCTTCTTCTAAGAAGTATTAGGTCATTGACTACCAATGCAATTCCTTTCCCTGGGCTTTTATCCCAGGTTGACACCATTGAGCACTGGGATTTGTAATATACTGTACATTTTAAAAGCCATCGTATTCCCCGTTCTGTACCTATAGCACACCGGTGAGTCTTAGTTCATCAAAAACTTGATTAGTAGCCTAGTTTCACTGGTTAAATTTCTTCTAAGGTTACATTGCACTTCCAAAAATAGTTCCTCCTTGGGGGAGGAAATCATTTTGAAAACACACCCCCAATTTTACTTTCTTAAAATGACAGTAAATTATGAAATTTGTGTAATTTTTTGACATTACTGTCTTATAAACATTTCCTGATATCCTCTACTGCACCCACCATGAAAAAACTAAAACCCAAGAGAAGATGCAATCTTTTTTTTTAATGTGTCTACTTTTTTGGGATTGAACTCATCAGATTGTTTTAATTTTGATTTAAAGTTCAAAATCTACTGGAACTAAAAGTGTTTGAATTTACATAAACAATCCAAGAGAAGACTCATAAAAAAAATTATCGAGCCCTCTTGTTCACATCAGAATTTTGTGTGGCATGAGAAGTGAGCCTGGCTGTTCAGTTTGGCCCATCTTCATTTTCAAATGTTTTTTAAATGAAAATTAAACTTATTAAAACTAGTATAAAAAAAAATTACCATGGCTAAAAAGATTTAAAACAATATCAACTAAAATTCGTAGATTCTACAGGGTTTGTGGTTTCTTAAGCACAAATTTTCCGCACAACTGTCGTTCGAACAGCTACGACTGAAGAACTTGTCACACAGTTGCCAGATAAGAGGCCAGCTTTGGTACGGAAAGGGTTAAGAGAAAATAATGGATAAAAAAAGAGATAAGAGGATTTTCGAGATAAAAGAAAGTAAACTACATCAATCTAACATGTCTAAAAATTTGATAGATATCACAAAAAATTCCTGCTAAACATTGAAACTTTCTGTAATAATATAATTTGCACTGTCCTGATGTCAGCACAGAAACTGAATGTATGATGACTTTTTTATTCTAGATTCTCTGGTTATTTGTTAAAAATCCGTTGAAAGACTGGTCGGTCATTTTCAGTCATGAATATCATTTAAATATTATTGTAGAAATTTGAACATCCATGACCTGGCATTTGAAAGTGGCGTACTTAAATATGAAACTTTTCAACTGAATCATGTTTGCAATTTATTCATTGAAACCATTGAAAATGTCACGGATGTGGGATTACCGTTTTTAATGAAAACAATTTTTGGCATTACCAAGTCTAGAAATATTTGGGAAATGTCTTAGCATTCTTGCCAATGACCCCCATCTATGACCCAAGAAATTTTGTAGAGTAACTTTTTAAAATATTAATTATACTTTTTATGTAAAAAAATCATATCAAATTATAAAATTTGAACGCTTCTGAGATGAGGAATTGGTGTCTGAGGGGATCAAAGTTACGATAGCTCAAGTAGTTAGAGCTGCTGGTGTATTGAACTGAAGGTCGTAGGTTCGAATCCTCTCGTGACACTAATTTTTCATCTCAACCAAAAACTTCAGATAAAAAGAATAATTAAATGAAATAATTAATATGGTCAATTATGACCACTAAACAAATATTAATCAATTTTTTAAAATACGTTTTTCTGTTTTTTGTGCATTTAATTCAAGGTTATTATGTACCATTAAATTTGATTTTTGACCTAAGCTAGGAAAATAACAAATAGAACCATATGAAATGAAATTAACTGTACAAAAAGTTACAAAAACTGAAAGACGTTATCAGTAAAGTAGGGCAAAACGTTTACTTTTTCAAGAAAAAAAATTGTTAACAATAAATTATTTGCTAGTCTGCATTTTATTCAAATTTAACTTTTATACAACCATTAATGTGAATGGAAACAGAATATTATAAGCCGAGACAGATTTTTATGCAGTAAAAATTGCCAGTGCCATAAAATAAGCAGTTGGAAGCCCTGAAATATGCAATAATACGCTGTATTAATACGTTAAAATATGCAATGGTATGCAGTAAACCAGTTTATTTCCTAAAATAGTTTAAGAAGGCAACATTTATGCCATTATGTATAGTTTATAAGGTTGTAAACCCTGGTAAATTTGCCCGTTGATCAATGGAGTTGTTTCAAAGTTATCAAATTTTTTGTAATATATAAAAAAAATCTGGAGCATTTGATGGCAAAAATTTCGAGGAAAAAATACTTTTTTTTCCCCAAACAATTGTACTCAAGGGTGTTTAGGTGAAAAAACAAAAACAAATATCAACTTTGTTTTTTGCTAAAAATAATTTTTTTAAACTTACTTTGCTTCATCACTCGGTCACAAACTATATATTTCAATATCTACGATAAGCTGTAAAGATGTCAAATAATTTTTTTGTATCTCCAGTTCTGATTTATTCAAGGAGGTGACATTTGTGGTTAGGGATGGTATTGTAATTTATATTACGTATTTTATTGTATTTTACATTATTTTATTACATGTATTTTATTGTAATTTATAAGGTTCTAAACCCCGATAAATTTGTCCGACGATCAATGGAGTTGTTTCAAAGTTATCAGATTCTTTGTAATTTAAAAAAAAAATTTTTTTTGATTTTCCCAAATAATTGTATTCAAGGTTTTTTAGATGGAAGAAAAGCATATTAACCTTGTTTCTTGCTAAAAAATATCCTGCTTTACTTCGTCACTCGGTCACAGACTGCCAAATAAAATTTTGATATAGAGACCAAGCGACTTATCTAAGCTGGGTTAATTCATCCCAAAAATATATAATTTTTGTCATAAAAATCAATCAGTCACTGAAACCAGATCCCAAACACATTAATCGTCATGGTCAATTTCTTCTTCATCAACATAAAAAGTAATATTTTTGTGCTTAAATGGTGCTTAAAAGAATCCATACTTTTTTCAAATATTTTTTTACTGGAAGTAACATTTTGTTTTTGTAACTTATCATATATCTAATTTTATTTAATACAATCTTCCATATTATTTTCTTATCCAGATTAAAACGGTAAATAGAATGAGATTATGTACCTTGAAGTACTTACAGAACAGATGTAGAAAACATTTTAAAAATTGTAAATTACTTTTTAAAAAATTTCTTAGATTCTAGGCCAACTGGCAAGAATGCCTTGGACACATCTCATATTTTTCAACCTAGTATCACAAAAAAAAGTTTTAAAAATCGGTGATCCCACGTTTGTGCTCTCTCCTTGTTAGTTTTATTATTATTGTTTTTAATAATCACAGTTTATTTGGATTTTATTTTTTATTATTTGATACTTAAAGATAAAAATATTTAAGAAATGTATGCTTTTGAACGTATTATTATTATTAATTAGTTTGCTTGCTGGAACATTCTATGTAAAATTTAATATAAAAGATAGTATTCACATTTTGCATTTCACCTCATTTGCATGAGAAATAATAAAATGAAACAATCTCATCTCATGTATAGACGACGCAACGACACATTTTTTTGTCTAATTTAACTACATTTTGTTTGAAGATCCCTGGTCAAGAAGAGCTTTTCAGGACGCAGTATGACACAATCATGACCGAAGTGAAGTCTTTTCTCGCCCGGCTGCTGTCTTGTGTCCGACTAGATGCTTCCGTATTTCCGTCGCAAAAGTTCCAACTCACAGCCGAGTACAGCCGTCATAAAAGTTATCTGTAAGCCATTTTCATGACTAACAGACCAAAAATGTTTTCTAAGGGTGTATTTTATTTTACAGCACTTGATTTATTGAAGATATTGTTTTTAAAGTAATGATTTAAGTAAGTTAACTTTATTTGTAGACCTTCCTCAAACTCCCTTGATGTAGAAATGAACACTTTTGTTGCTCTGATTTGTGATTTATCTCATGTTTCTTTTGTCTTCATCTGTAGTCTAGTTTTCTTTTTATTTTTTCCAGTAGATAATACTTTAAAAGCCATTGAATTTATTGAATTTATGTATATGTAATTATTAAAAAATACTGGGTTACGTAAATGTAATTTAATGGCTTGTTTTTCAGATTTGATGAGAAGCACCCAAACTTCTTCTCTTCCCAAATTAGAACAATTGTAGTAGATTTTATTTTAGAAAGGACGAGTTTTAGTCTTCAGACTGGATCAGTTTCAGAAGTCGGTATTCAAAAGTTAATAAATGATGGCGTTTATGATGCTGCTTATCCTCTTCATGATGTAAGTTTAATTTTTTTTTTACTCTGAATTTTTTCCAAATCTTGTTCTTTAAAGGGTAAATATGATGATCCGACTTGCCTAAGGGGCCTACTACTTAAAGAATGGGCCGCGTTGAAAAACTGGGCCATGTATCAGCCGATCGATCAAGTCAGGGACTATTTCGGCGTCAAATTTGCCTTGTATTTCGCCTGGCTCGGATTTTACACGCACATGCTGATCCCAGCAGCATTATTCGGCGTTCTGACATTTTTTTATGGCATTTTCACCGTTCATAACGATACTTACAGGTTGGTCGTATTTTTTACCTCACATTATAATCTTTAATTTATTAATCTTGATTGTTTAAACAGTAACGATATATGTGATGAGAGCTTAAACATTACAATGTGTCCACGTTGTGACGAACACTGTGATTATTGGAAATTATCAGACACATGCACCTACGCAAAATTTGTATATTTGTTTGATAATCCCGCTACAATTATATTTGCAATATTTATGTCGTTTTGGGGTATGTATATTATAATTAAAATAATATAATGGACTTTTTAATTTTTTTAAATTATTAATTTAAAGCTACATTGTTCCTGGAGCTTTGGAAAAGGTATTCAGCTTCAATAGCTCATAGGTGGGGGCTGACTGACTTCAGCCTTCAAGGGGAGCCACCGAGACCACAATATTTAGCTAAATTAAAATCTAATAAAAAAACTAAAATGAAAAAGAATTTAATAACAGGAGTCCAAGAACCATATGTACCTTTTTGGACTGTAAGGTTACCAGCAATGTGCCTAAGTTTTTCAGTAGCATTCTTACTAGTAAGTTTTCATAATTTTCAGTATAAAATAATACTAAACGCTTGCACTGCCATCGTGTGTTTTTTTTAAATTTATTTTTTAAAGCGAATTTTTTTGCTTTTATTGTCTATTTTTTATCTACTTTCAAACAAACTCAAGTGTAACTTTCTTTGAAAATTTTGAGGTAAAAAACATTTTGTTTTGTACAAAAGAATAATCCATCTACGTTTGATACAATTTATTATGTACAGAAAACATTGGAAAAAAATATAAAGAAAACAAAAGCCTGTATTATTTTCCAGACAATCCAATATAAGCATGTAAGATTTTAGCATACACGTGGAAATTTTTATTATAAGCCACTTAGGTTCATACTAAATAAATAAAAATTGTACAAAAAAAACAAACATATTATTAGCTTTTCAGTTTAAAAAAGTATTGGGTCTAATAAGACGATGGTGTCCACATTATTTTTTTTCCGACGGTGGTGCGAATGTTAATAATTATACATTTTACAAACATAGAATTAATTCTATCAAGATTGATTTATAACAATAAGCCCTTTTATTTACAGGTGATGGTTGCAATAGCAGCAGTTTTTGGTGTAGTTTTTTATAGAATGTCTGTTCTCGCTTCAATCAGTTTGATAGCACCTAGTCAATCTGCGACGCATTACGCCATTGTCATTATTCCCTCAACTGCTGCAGTAATCAATTTAGTATTTATTTTTGCTCTCAACTACGTAAGTTTTTCTATAATTTCACTTTCGGATTGCTGTTGACTTATAAAATCATCTTTCAGATATACAACAAAATAGCGGTTTATATGACGGAATTTGAAATGCTCAGGACGCAGACTGAATTCGACGAGTCTTTGACTATAAAAATATATTTATTTCAGTTTGTGAATTATTATACCTCCATAATGTATATCGCTTTTCTCAAAGGGAAATTTGTCGGGTATCCAGCTAAATATAACCGAATTTTCGGATTCCGTCAAGAAGAGGTATTTTTAAATTATTCTCATTTTGTAAAAAAAAAGAAAAAACAATGATAATAATTTAATTTTTCAAAACAGTGTAATCCCGGTGGTTGTTTGATGGAGTTAAGCATACAGCTAGCTATTATTATGGTCGGCCAGCAAGCTATGAACAGCGTCATTGAAATGGTCTTACCGTAAGTTGTTCATATATTTTTTATTAAGTCCAATTAAGCTCGATTTTTCACCCTTCATGCCAATCAAAGCTTGTGTCTCAAAAGGAAATATCCTAGGTTCGATCCTCTACACTACTACTGATATACCATCCAAACATACAAATACACCTAATCACACACACCATTCCTATCGTAGCCACAGAAGCTTGGTGCACTTGGTGACAGATAAAGTTGAACAAAAAAAGCAAAAATTACTTTTATGCTCAGACGTCAGGCCTGATCACCAATGCACATAAACAACAACTTCCAGCCGACCAAGTCTCTTATCTTGGACTTTACTTACTTTAGGCTTACAGGCTCTAAGACTTTATTCTAGGCTTACATAAAACCAATGTGCAATATTAAAAAAGAAAAAATTAAAATATATTATTCTTGTTAGCTGTTTAATAACCTTTTCTAACTGTGTAAAAACCTTGCTGTGATTTTTAATACCAGATTATCATGGGATGTTTTTTAGTCTTTGTTACTAGAAGAGTGAATGGGACTTTAAATTCGCTTTGGAAGTATCGTAAATTTATCTGCCTGACACTAAAACTTAGATTAGTTAAAATTCGTTTTTTACTTTTTTTTTAAATTTTCTATTTATTTTTAAAGGGCATCTGACATCTTGGTCATTTCAGCCTGAGCACATGCGAAATATTGCAACACACATTCAATACGCATTCACACAAATAAATACATTCACACCTGTATACATTGCATTCTATTTGGTAGATGGAGTACTCAATATTTCACAATCGTCCTGCATACAATAACAAACTAATCTAATTGGGGGCGGTGGGGATGCTATTCCACCATCCCATTCACTCTAATAAATACACTTACTCATACAAAACACAGAAACACAAAACACATATTTTGACGGCTATATATAGGGTGTCCCAAAATTAATGCAAGATTTGAATTTGCCTCCATTTTCGAAACCAGTCCGGAACAAAATTTCAAAAATAATGAAAGTGGCGGCCGCAGCTCGAAAATTTTATACAAAATATGGTAAAAAAAAGTGTTTTAACCGAAAAGATTAATTGAAAAATTCAGGGAGACTGGATCAGTTGGAGACGCTAAACACACTGGTCATCCAAAAACAAGCCGTTCAAATATCAATATTGATGAAGCAGTGTGAGGAGAGTGTTGGTGAAAACCCAGTAACATCAATTTGGTGTCGTGGACAAGGATCGATTGAAAAACTTACTTAGTTGAAATATTGTTCAATAATGAAAACACGTATTGTATAAAATATAATAATTTTTTTTTTTAAATATTTTTTTTACGAGGGTTCGCAACAGCAGAGGTCATATCAACCCTCGGTGTGCCGGTGTTTTTGAAAAAAAGCCCATTTGCAAGTATGTCGGGTTTGAATCTAGCAGGACCTTATAGTGATGACAGTCAACGCCTAAACCGTTGCAGCCACTGATGCCCAATGCTCCATTTTTACTAACCCTAAACTCTCAGCTGTCAAATTGTTCTTTTTTTCAGGGTTGCCAACAATTTACTGCAAAAATGGCTGCACATTGAAATCTTGCGTTAATTTTGGGACACCCTTTACAATAAAAAATTACAAATTAAATAAAAAATACTCAATATTCATCCATTAACCTGCATACAATTACAAACTCTAATTGGGGGCGATGGGGTACTCTTAAAAACATTCCACCATCGACCCAAGTCATGTACACAGCTCAAGGGGCGATTGGGATGCTATTTCACCATCAACCCGTCTCCATTNAACCCCTCGGGTCCTGGTCGCCCGCCCTGTGTAAAATATATATAACAGGGGACCCTGAATCTCGTTACCATGTCCGAGAACCATTCTTAAATCCGTCTGTTTGAGGCCAGGGCATGGTACGCCTCTATTATGTAGGACACAAAAGCAAATGCCAGTGTGTCAACCGTGTATGGCCAAGTTTTTTACTTATTGCAGTACTATCTTCTCTTTTTCACTTAATCACACTTCTGCTTTAAAAAAATTAGAATATATTTTAATAATTTCACAAGATTTGTATTAAGTTTACGAAGAAGAGAGCACATAACACATAACAGTTCATTCTGAGTATTTGATTACTTTAAACTCCAATCTTCTATTTACTTATTTAAAATCAAAAATAAGCTCTACCCATCATGTTTATTCATTATATTCGATTTTAATTCTCCCCGTTTTTTAAATATTGTAAAAAGCTTGCATCATAGATCCAAATGTGCGCCTGGAATTCCCTTCAATGGCATATTGGTCAGCTCATCCCCTTCGGGCTTTCAAGCATCAATCTTTCAACTCTTTAGCAAACAATCCATGATTTGATCAAACTAACAATCGATATGATCTTGTTTTTACTTTCTTTTATATATTTTTTTTACCTACTTCTCTCCTTCATATTCAACTATGTTAATATCATACAAATTTTGTTTAATTATTCCTTGCATTATATTTTGTAACCTTTTTGTTATTTAATTTTATATTTTTCTACTCGCTGTAAAGGGGCCAAATCCTATTGCGATATTTTTATAAATATATTTCTATTTCTGTATAAATGCTGAAATCAACATTAAACTTACATAACCGCTTAAACTCTCATCAGACCAATTTGGACTTACAGAGGGCTCGGCCAGATCCTTGAACATCCAATGAATCCACTTTCAATCCAAAGATCCAAAAATTCCATTTGTGAAGGTTCTGATTTGAACACGCTGCCTTAATTTCCACTCTAAATAACCCTACCCCACTAGTATAAATTTTTTCTCATTGTCCCACCCTATTATAATCAACCATGCTGTCTAAAACAATGATGGCCTCGAGACCTTAATTTTCCTTAATTTTAATCCCACTTTTCCCACTAAATTCAGTTCAGCATCTCTCCTACATTTCTGTCAGATTTGTTGTTGATAATTAGCTGCATGTTTGTTCAATGCATTTTTTTTAAGATAGCAATAAAATATATATAAGTCCAATTAACTTGTGGTTTTTTAAGATATTTCTACCAATGGCTAAATGTATCAAAAATCAAAGCTGGCCAAGATAAAAAATTGAACGATCAGATTGTCGACCCGACTCATAAACAATGGAACGAAGACTTCAAACTTGTAGATTTTGGTACAGAAGGACTCTTCAACGAATATCTCGAAATGGGTAAAGTTTTAATTAAATGCTTATTGAAATCGATAACGGACGTTATCCATGCTATTTCAGTTGTTCAATATGGATTTGTTACGATATTCGTTTCTGCATTCCCTCTGGCGCCGTTTTTCGCCTTGATTAACAACGTTTTTGAAATGAGGTTGGATGCAAAAAAATTCCTTTTCTACTACAGGAGGCCGGTACCAAGAAGAGTACCGAACATTGGAGTCTGGTACAGGATTTTAAATGTACTTGGAAGGCTTGCCGTCATCTCAAACGTGAGTTGTTAATACTAAATCATCACTTTCACCTAACAATTTCATTACGAGCATCACTGAATGTCAATGTAAAGCCCGCTTTACACCTAACAAGTACTCGGGTAAGTAATTTTTCTGAAAGCTGGTATAACTGAGTAATCACACCTGTTCATGACTTGACATTTGAATTGAATTTGTTTTCTTGAGTGGTGTCTTTCGGAAGAAGAAATCCTTCAAACAATTAATCTTAAGTGGTGAGAAATATGTTTAGTAATTTACCCAGGCCCTGAAGATGATCCGAATAAAGGTTGAAACGTTGGAAAGTAAAAAGGTTTTTTTATAAAATACAGTCGATTCTTGTTAATTGGAAACTTGATGATAATTCGAATTTCTTGATAATACGAACTCCTCAGCAGGTCACTTTGGTAAATGGAAAAAATTCTGTACATTACACTCGGTAATACGAACTATTTCTTATCAAAGGGCACTTTTTCTTTGTTATATTTTTTTTCTGTTCCCTGGTCTCTGTTTTGTCAATGTGTTCTCAGCACTGGTCACTTGGGAAAATCATTGAAACAAAGGATACCAGGGCAGGCCACATTGAAGCAAGAACCACTTCACGATTTTTTTTTTAAATATTGAGTAACATTGTTCAGTTTTGCAGTTGATCTGTTTCCGCTTTTTCATTATTTTCACTGTGTTTTATATATGTACAATTTAAGTAATAATTTGGAAAAATGCGTATCAACTCTTAACAGTTTTTTTCCTCTTGATAATTCAAATTATTTTTGTAGTCCCTTGGGTTTCGAATTATCAAGAGTCGACTATACTTCATTCCTGACCTCTCCTCACGACTTCAACAAATTATTGAACAACTAGTCACTAAAAACACATTTTAAAAGAATATTGCAATGTTAGAAGAATGTAAAAAAATCCTGTAATATCCAATGTAAATTTCTTCAAAATATCACCCAGAAGCTAAGAACGTATTTCCCCTTTTTTAAACAGTAAAAAACCCACATATTTAAATAATTAAAGTGCAATGATAAATAGATGTTTGACTGGAATTCTATTCCTTCTTGGCTAAATATGTATAAACTTTTCAAACAAACTTTATTTATTTATTTTTTTTTTTTTAATGATAGATTTGGGAAAGTAACTAGTGACTTTTTCAGCTGATTTTTTTTATTGATGCTGATGCGTTTTGTGGTCAATCTACCTCTCCTCTTCAGGGCTCGTTGGAGTAATAACGCAAAAACACAGACGTTTGTTATTACTCTTACAAATCCTGAAGAGGGGAGCCAGGTTGGCCTGAAATGCATCATCATCAATAAAAAAAAAAATCAATTGAAAAAGTTCACTAGTTACCCGAATCTATCATCGGTAAAAAAGTTTTAAAAATATTGGATAAACATTTATAGAGATATTGATTGTTTGAAATTAGTAGGGACCAATAAATATTTCAAAACTGTCTTTTCGTCTAAATTACTCGACTTTTCCCCAGTTGGAAGTGAACTTTTTTTTGCTAAGAAAGAGAAAAAGTAGTTGTATATATTAACCTTTTTATGATTTATTTTAAAGTTTGATTTATACAATAATTGTTTTATTGCGCTTTAAAAATTAAACCTTAATTATTATAATTCAGACGTCAGAAGAAAGTCAGATAGTTTTTGATCATGTCTCATACAAATGAGGCCCCACTATCAGACTTTGCAATGTAATAATTAACTTGATTTGAAAGTACGTCTGTAAGTTCGATCATTTTTCAATTAATCTATGAATAAATAGGTGCTATTTTGGTTTTTGGTGATGGGTAGTTTGGCAAGTTTACAGATTACACAGGTTTACATGATTTTCTGTGACTAGGAAGAGGGGTGTTTTTTCCCATCAATTTTACATGCTGGTTTCAGAAATGAACTCAGTGTTTTGATAGGATGTACAGTTTTCTCACAAATCACGCAGAGTTCTCCCCCAGTGATAGTTTACAGGTTGTGTCTTTTACAGATAGATCGTGTTCTAGGGTCGAGACTCAAAAATAAAAGTCTGTTGGAAACTGGTATTAGCTTTGCATGGTACAGGGCTAGAGAAAAAGAACTGAAGCCCCTATTTTCACAGGAGAAAAATTTCGTGTTTTGTAATAATGGCAATGATTTACTGTGGTTTTTTGAAGCCGAACATGATCCTGACTGGTGGCTTTTCATTTTCGTCTCAAAGCAGCGTTACTCCACAATGGAAATAAATATGCATCCATACCTGTGGCCAACTAGGTGCATCACAAAGAGACGAAAATATGAAGACTGCTGACCCTGATAAAATATGAGGAGCATAAGTGGAGGATTTCAAAGTAATTGGCTTGTTGCTTGGGCAGCAAGCAGGTTACACAAAACTACCTCGTTTTTTGTGTGAATGGGACAGTCAAGCCAGAGAGAAACATAGGAAAGCAAAAGACTGGCCTCGAAGAACAAAATTTGTTCCAGGCACGAAAAACATCAAACATAACCCTCTTGTAGACCCTCAAAAAATACTCCTACCTCCATTACACATAAAACTGGCACTCATGAACCAGTTTGTAACAGCCTTATCTCAAGAGAGTGAGTGCTTTAAAAACCTGACTACGAAATTTCCTGCGATCACTACCGAAAAAATAAAAGCAGGCATTTTCATTGGCCCTCAAATTAATCAGCTCTACCAAGATGAAGGGTTTATAAAAACTATGTCAATGAAAGAAAAACTCGCATGGAATGGATTTAAAACAGTCATTGAAAACTTTTTGGGCAATTTTAAACATCCAGATTTCAAAAATTTTGTGAGCAATATGCTGAAGAGCTTTCAAGAACTAGGATGCAATATGAGCGTGAAAGTGCATTTTAAACACTCACACATAGACTATTTCCTCAAGAATCTTGGTGACTTCAGCGAGGAGAATGGTGAAAGGTTCCACCAGGATATAAGAGAAATGGAAAGGAGATACCAGGTATCCTGTTGGATGCTGAAGCGAAGGATGATGGGTCTACACGGAAAACCAAGAAAAGAAAATTCAAAAACTAACCTAGAAATGAACTTGCTTACTTTATACATGACTGTAAAAATGTAATTAGTTTACTTACATAGTAATATAAAGTTTATAAAGTGTTTCATCTCTCAATAAATTAATATAAATTATGGGTTCTCGTTGATTCCGGTAATAAAATTTGCTATTGTACTGAATTTGATTTGTGAAAATTCCTGACATGGTAGAAAAAACTGAAGTCATATTCAGAACCAGCACTGAAAAACCATTCAGAAACACCTGATATGATGAAATCATTGCTCAAAAAAGTTTCATTTGCATACTGGTGCTATTTTTCTCCTGAAGGGTAAAAAAAAGCTAACGAAGTCCATCAAGCCTTTAATTTAAAATTAATCATATAAAGATCACTACAGCGATTGTATACTTTGGTTTGTGAATTTCTTTTTATTTATTTTTTTTAAACGTCTTGGCAAAACATGTATTTTATTGTAACTAGAGTTTGTATTACTTTTGCATTCAAAAATCCAGAAATGCTCGTTTTTTCTACACAAGACCATTCACCTTGTTTACACTGATCAAGTTCTCAACTAAGTTAAAAAATGTGAAGGCTGAAAAAATATAAACCCACTCGAATCGAGTTATTTGTTCATTGACTCAGCCTTGGCCGTGTCTTTTCTGTTCGCCGTACTTGTACTCAATAGGTGTAAACTGAGCTTAAGCTTAGCTCATGTCCTGGAGTCGTTTTGGAACAATTCAAATCTTCTTGTAATGCACTGCCTTCATAAATATCATATTTTTGGTGTGGTACAAATCATTACCATAACAACTGTTAAATTATTAGAAAAAAAATTCTGCAGAGGTAAACACATTAAAAAAATATTTATTTACTATTGTATCATTGTTTGTGTAAATTACATTTAATTATTTTGTTTGGAATTGTGTCTTTTAAGTTTGTGTCCCTACAAAATTTTCTTAATATTCATATCAAAACTGACTTTTTTGTTTTTGTTTATCGGACTTGCCGGGTTGGATTTTAAAATAGACTGGTATTTAGCACGTTTCCCTGGTTGAAAGTTTGTGAGAATGGCTTTCCTCTTGGGACCTACCATTTGAAAATGAGCGTCTGGCACTTTTTTCATTTTAGCTCGAATAATTTCCAAACTGTCCGTTACCATGAGTAGTTGCCTCTCTTTTTCGCCGTATTTGTCTGTTTCATCGAATAAACTTTGCTTTAAGCTCGATTGAGTATGATAGTCGGATTCTTTATACTGCATAGAACCGTCGTATTTTGTCTCAACTTCGAAATTGTCTTCGGATTCTTTTTCCTTGTTAACATTTTCATCATTTTCTTTGTTACCTTCTTTGCTTTCAATAATAAAAGAATTTAAAATATCTTCTTTTAAGATTGAAAAACTTGATTTCTTGCTGCCTTCTTTTAACGATAATTTTTTTGATGAATCAGTATCTGTAGGAAATATATTTTGTTTCAATTGAATTTGTTTCCTATTCTTCCAATTATACCCTTCGGATTTTTGAAGGATATTTTTAACCATTTTAGTTTTTCTTGGTGATCTCGTGTTTTTTCTAACAGGCTTAACCCGTTTGATCTTTCCAAATTTGCCTTCTCTCGATGATACGTTACCTACAGATTTCAAAGTGGAGTCCTGAACAGAAGTCGGTTCTTCTGATAACGGTTGTTCATTTGTTGTTATTCTGTTTTCTATCAAATTTACAATAATATTGTCGATGGAAGCAAGTTCTGTTTGGATAAAAGTTCTCGCAGCAAGTTTAGATTGTGTCTCTTCAGTATTTAAATCATTTGTTTGGTAATCGGTTGTAAGTTTAACTTTAGACTTTGGAGTTGTTCCATCTGGACATAAAGCATGTTTGTTTTTATAATTTTCAATTTTTTCATTAAAAACCGCATCTAATTCTTCTTTTATAAGTTCTTTTAATTTTACATCGTCAATGTGATTGCCGAAACTTTTATTGGCACTTTTTTGCATGACGTTAACGACAACCTTTCTTATCGAGCTCATCGCTGGCTGCATCAATTTTTCCCTTCCGTTCAAGCCTACTTTTTTTACACCTTTTCCCATCGATTTAACTCTGTTGCTAAATTTCAAAATCGGTTTGATCTCAAATCCTCTCTTTTTGTAACACAAATTTTGAATATTTTTGAGCTGAAGTCGTAAATTTTGCAAATCGTTTCTCTTTTTCATGTTGCCAAGGTACATGTCGTCTTCACATTTTTCAATGGGCTTTTCATCGATAAATGACACGACTTTCTTTCCACTCTTGTTTTTGTTCAATACATGCATCAGCCTCTGTTTTAACGGCCTGTATTTCATAAAATTGAGCGACAGAGATTTCTCTTGGTTTTTTAGAAACAATTGTTTATTCACTTTGTCACTGTACTTATCTTCAAAGTAGTGTTTAAACAATAAAGAGGTGTTGCTACTAGGGTTTACATGCTGGTCCTCAAGCGGAAAGCATGATTCAGGTGGTTTGTCCTGTTGAACACGCCTTGAAATATTATACAAGGGTTTGAACGTTATATTTTCATTCGTGCCCATATCTAATTTGTTGAATACAGCGTTTTGTATTTTAGGGAAAAGGTTTTTGTAACTTGACAGATTATCGCCCCTTTTGCTAACCCTTTTATCTTCATAGTCAGCTCCCTTATAGAGATGCATTATTTTTTTATGAATTGAAATGCTAATATTCACCTAAAATTTTTCCCCCTACAGAAAAGAAAGAAGTACAAATTTTGCATGTTTTTATTATCAACATATGTGCAATTTTGTTATAATTTAAAAAAAAGTTTTGTCATTGGTTTTAGGCTTTTATTATAGCGTTTTCGTCAAACTTTATACCAAAAATGGTGTATAAGTACTACGTCTCTCCGGATCACTCCGACACTGGTTTTCTCAACCATTCACTCGCTGTTTTTAACGTATCCGACTTTGAGTTCAATAGCAGTCCACTTCACCCAACAATAAATGCAACCATGTGCAGGTAAAAATTGTAACACTACTTTTAAAATCTATTTTTCTACTACTGTTTTTTTATTTTTTTGCCAGGTATTCGGCTTACAGGCATTCACCTGACCATTATAAGCCTTATAAGAGAAGTTCACTCTATTGGCACATTCTTTCTGCCAGGCTACTGTTTGTAGTAGTTTTCCAGGTATTACTAAGATATTTTGTACCTTTAAAATTAATGTTTTATGTTGTTAGGCATTGGGCATTGATATATGTAATGGCTTGTGAAATAACTGAAGCATTTTTTTTCTTCTATAATTAAATTTTATCGCTCTTGTGTTTTGAAGAAATTTTTAGTTAGGCATTACTGTTTGCATACTCCGAAAAAAGATTAGTTTTTAGTTGATTTAAAATAGAAGAAAACAGTGTATTTTTTTCATTTAATTGTTGTTGGTTTTTTATTACAACAAAAAGAAAATATTAGCTCAGACTTCTGCAAAAGAAAGCATAATTATACAAATTATATTTTTATCCCTACAAATTCGATTGCAGCATATATGCAGTACATTTGACGACTTTGGAAACTCTCAGCAACCATGGTGGCTGAATGTTTAGGGCATCCGACTCGTATTTGCCACGCTAGAGGTTCAAATTCCAGCCCAGTCCATGGATTTTTAATTGAAAATAGAAAGAACTAGTGTGGCTTTATTTGATCCCTTGTTCATGATACTCAACGGTTAGCTGGGTGTTAACCCTTCCTGTACGACAGGAATTACTTCACTCTTGATATAGCGATAAACTGATAAAATTTTTAGATTGGTGGTCTGCTCAGTTCAAAAATAGATTTTTTTTTTTTTTTAAATGAGGGAACAAGGGTATTTCAACTATGAGGTTATATGAACCCCCGAGATGCAGGGGTTTTTGAAAATTTGGATTTGAAAGGCACAAAGCTCTCTGGTCGTCTTTCAATTGTGAAGATGACGAAATTTAAGTTTTTTCTCAAATAACCCTCAATCAATAATACAAGACAACGCAGAGACGATTACAATATCTCATACAAGTGTTTTAATTCATCTGGGTATGATGTCCTCCATGTTGACTGAGAACAGCATTTCCATCTGCGATTCCCTCCAAAATCGCAATTTAACCTATTAATTTATTAAAATATTGATATTTTGGTTTGGGGTTGAAAACTGGGTCCCTTAGAACAACGTTCAAAGAGGAAAATGCCAAGGAAAACACCACGACCTACCTTGAGAACTTCTAAAGGCGGATTACACCCTAAGAAATGTGCATTTGGGGGTGCTTTATTATTTTTCACCTAGCTGAACCTTTTTTCTTTCTTTTTTTCCTCCACTTCCAATTCTTTCATCTACTACGACCTAAACAGTAAAGTGACTGTACCGTAAACGGGCTTTCACTTTACATTCACAAAGGATATGTGCCGATCAGGTTCCTCCTTACAGAACCGGCAAGTTTCCGTCTCAGCTTTGTCCATATTTTTAAGATGTTAGTTAAGAGGGCAGTGGCCGGTTTAGAGGTCTATAATTTTCAAATTCTGCCTGTTAAGAGAGAGGAGTCCCTTCGCCTTCCGTTTTGAGAGATTTTTCAAAACCCTCTAGCTTGCCTCATACCTGGAGAGTTTGTCGAGTGTTTCGAATTCTGTGTCGAAAATCGTGACCAAAGAAGCAGTTGGTTGTCTTTCATTGGCCATGATTTGCTTAGTGTGTATGTGCTTTTCTCAATCCATTTTTCCAATTCCAACTTTTTTTTTTTTTTCCTTCCCCTTTTTTAAATAGCAAGTTTAGTCTAAACTACACACAATTTGAGCAATTGAAATCAACAGTTGAACAAATTTGCCTGGGGACCGCGGTAGCTGAGTGNAAATTTGCCCCCATGTGATGGAGTTTTGGATTTTCAGTTATTCCAGACTCTAAAGAATTCTTTTAATCAGTAAAATTTAAAATCTGAGAAGTTCTGAGAGGCGGCAATTTCCAAATTGTACGGTAGATGACAACATGCATGGAACAAAATGCCTCATATTTTTGACTAATTTTGTTTACAAGTACCTGAAATTATCATTTAATTTGCCATGAAAAAAAGTTTCAGACTTATTTTATGATTTGATATGAATGACCATCACTCCTTTTTGTTTTCTATCTGCTTACATTCAAATTGCAATATAATTTTTGAAATTTATTATAGAAAAGTATTTCTATTAATTTTTAAGAATATTGTCTCCATTGTAATGATAATTGTACAATGGTGCATACCCGACGTTTCGCCAAAACTTCAGGACCAAATTAAGCGTGAGCACTATTTGACAACCGAATTGATAATACAGCACGAAGCCAACAGGGCTAAGAATATGGGTGAGCAACTTTTAAAAACCATAAAAAAACGAATTTTGTTCATTTTTGTAAATTGTTTAGATCAAGATAAAGGTGCGTCTTCGAAAAATATGCTACAGGCGGAACAAGGGGTCGTCAGACGCCCTGCGAGAAAGAAGAACAAGAACACAACTTTCGGCGAACCTGTTTGACCTAATATTCCTCTTACTAAGTACTTAAAGAAAGCATTTTTTTTTTTTTTCCTTAACCTCCAATTTTAGCTTGTAATCTTGATGTGGTGGTCTAGCTGTGATATAGTTCACCATCCAAAAAGGTAAACGATTTGGCCTTTTACCCAGCGTATATTTACTTCATATAGAACAATTTAAGTTTAACTTTAACTCTCCTTCATAACTATATGTATATTATTTTTTTTAACATTAATTATGAACAATTAAGTTAAAAATTGCTAATTAAAACAAAATTAAACCAAAGAAAAGTTTCTATCAGATTTTTTTTTAAGTGAAGATTATTGAGTATTTCTGGTCTTATTTAGTCTCTTAGCTCAGCTTTGCAGCAAAATTACCTGTGTGCAGTCAACAGGGTTTTTTTTAAAGTACTTAAAAAGACTTAATTTAAAACTATTTTTCAATAACATGTTGGCTGCATCACAAAATATATTATTACGTTATAAACTTTTGGGTCTGCTCATCTACTAATACAAATACTATTCATACAAATCGTCTTTGTAGGAGTTGTAAACTTCGTTTTAGTTTCATACAAGGGACCCGTAATTTACCTCAGTTTCATAAAAAATGAAATTTATATAATTTATAAATACAGCTTCCGGCTGAGAATATTCTACTTGATATTTTTTTATTATAGTGTTTATTTTAATGCTAAAAACTTGCCACACTCACTAGTAATTCTGCCAAGAAGTGCCATTGAACCATTTTTACTATAATCGTTACCCACCAGATGTGTTAATGTTAAATATTAAATTATTTTGGTGCATTATTTGTTAAAATTTAATTTAAATTTTATATTATTTCATTATTGCTGATTCTTTATAATTATATTAAATTATCAATATTAAAATTTCCAACTTAAGTTGTGATATGTTTTGGAATCAATTTTTATTATTTAAAATACCCTCAATTCGATTAAATAAGCATTTTTTGTTAACTTGTTATGATTAAATTTATAAATATTATGAAATATCTATGTCTTCTGTAACATGCTCTTTCAAAAATAAAAAATATATAGGTGTTTAATTTTGTTTTCTATCATTATTATTGGTATGGTTAATTTTAAATGGCTTTCGAGGTCCATAAATGGAACAATAAAAAGGACAAAACTTATATCATAAGTCAGTTCTGACATTTTTTCATCTCTGTGCCATTCTTTGCTATTAATAGATCACAACTAGCAGAGCTGAAATGCATTTCATTCATAGATGATATGACGACATTCGAGGTAGAACCAAGAAAGAACATAAACAGTTTCACATGCAAAATGACTTCATTAATCCCTTATTTTATGATTTATTTTTGGAAAAATGTACATAGTTATATGTAAAAGCTTGAAATATATGATTTTTAACTGAAACAACCAAATTACAGGTTCATTGATCAACAAAGAAATCATAATGATCATTGTTCATGTTTTCTAATGATCTTCTGGTAATGATCTTCATCGGTTTCAGTTGGCCGTGAATTGTTGCACTCGTAATAGTGAAGTTTTTAATTTCTGTCGATCATTTCTTTTTTGTAAGTTTGAAAAAGTGTCGATTTTCATGATAGACAGACATTGAAGCCAGTGAAGATGGCAGAAGATAGTTTAAGAAGATTTCCTGTATATAGATCAGGAATAGTGTTGGCCTGAGTACTGAGCCTTGTGTTCCCTTAAAAACTGAATTTTGTAAAATTGAATTTCTATTAGCAAAGAAGTCCTTCACCTCGCAGACCACATAAAAAATCGAGTCAGTTTGTTTGAGTTTGAAAATATTTTGACATCTTTAGAAGATATTTGTATATAGATCAGGAATAGCGTTGGTCTGAGTACTGAGCCTTGTGCCACATCGAAAACTGAATTGTGTAAAATTGAATTTTATTGCGAAATCACCTTTCTGACGTCATAAAAAATAGAGTCAGTTTGTTTGATTTTAAAAATATTTTGACTAGAAAAGTTCTTGTGTATAGATCAGGAATAGCGTTGGTCTGAGTACTGAGCCTTGTGTTACGTCAAAAACTGAATTGTATAAAATGAATTTATATTGGCAAAGAGGTCCATCACCCCACAAACCTCATAAAAAATTGAGTCTGTTTGAGTTTGAAAATATTTTGACTAGAATATTTCTTCTACATAAATCAAGAATAGCGTTGGTCTGAGTACTGAGCCTTGTGTTACGTCGAAAACCTAATTGTGTAAAGTTGAATTTCTGTCGCCAAAGTGGCCTAAAAACTTTTATTCAATATTTATTAATTATTTATTTATAAAGAATATGCCTTTATGACGTAAGGAAATCTTCTGAATTATATAATTTACTTTCTCTTCAAAACTTCGATTTTTAAATTCATTGGAACATTGGAAGCATGATTATATTCACAGCAATCGGTTTCTTCATAAAAAAGTAAATAAATAATAAACGAAATTGTTTTCATTATTTTACTTATTTATTAATGATCGTGAGGTTACTTTTTAATAGAGGAGTTTGGGTATAATTTCGGACCGTGGGCCAGGGTCAACGGTGATGTGGTCTTCAGTGATGTGTCCGACCTTGGTCATTTTTATCTTTGTTCTTTTCGAACAGAGCTGACTCACCGACTCAGTTTATGAATGAAACCCCCCCTCTTGCCATTCATGACCGCGGCCGTACGTTTCTAAAGGCGGATTACGGATGGGATTAGTGGGATAATCCCATCGTTTTTTGAAGCCGTTAGCTCTGACCCGTGTGTAAATATATTGGTTGAATTTTAATTAGACTGTAGGCTTGGCTAAGCATTAAATTCTTAGGTTTCGATAAACATTGTAACAATTAATTTTATTATATACAATTAATAGTTTTATGAAAAACTCGTGGGAAGAGTGATTGAGGTGCATTTGATATAACTAAAAAATATTAATTATAAATTAATCATTGCTTTTTCTGTAAGTTATTTGCCGTAAAACAAAGCCATTCATCACATATTCAATGTTTTTAAACGATCCATTAGTCATAATGTTCCAACCAGTTCGGAATTCTCCTTGGATATCTTCTGGACCTTTAGTTCTTAGACTTCTGGAAATAACAGGCCAACGGGAAGCCTCGGGTGACGTATATATATAGCTTAATTTATATCAAAATACCGTAAGAAGTTTATATAATCAAAGGTCCACGAAAGAAGCCTTAACTGAATGTATTGGAAATTAATTATCGACCTTAGTTTGACATTGCATTTGGACTGGCTATCTTCGCTCTGATCTGTAGGCTGTTTTAGGCAATATCAAAGTAAATATGCGGTAGTCTCTGTAGTTACCGCTGATCGTATTTTCGTCCAATTTGAAGAGATTAAGGTTTGTAATAAAAAAAAATTTGACTATTTGGTATGCCTCGTTCGCCTAAGTTGTATGCTTGTACATAATTATTAATGGTGGTGAAACATAAAACAGGGAGGAAGGCTGAGAGAGCGATAGAGATAAAAAGAGAGAGAAAGAAAGTGCGAGAAAGAGAACAAAAGAGAGAACGAAAGTGAAAAAAGAGAGAGGGGAACTGGGAGAATGGCTGAGAGCGCGATAGAGAGAAAGAAAGTGCGTGAGAAAGAAAAATAGAGAGAGCGAGAGAGAGAAAGACTGAGTGAGCGATAGAGAAAAAAGTGAGAGAGGGGGAATGGGAGAAAGGAGAGAGCGAGAGAGAGAAAGACTGAGTGAGCGATAGAGAAAAAAGAGAGAGAGATGGGGAATGGGAGAAAGGCTGAGAGAGCGATAGAGAGAAAAAGAGAAAGAAAAATAGAGAGCGAGAGAGAGAAAGACCGTGTGAGCGATAGAGAAAAAGAGAGAGGGGAACAGTGAGAAAGGCTGAGAGAGCGATAGAGAGAAAAATAGAGAGCGAGAGAGAGAAAGACTGAGTGAGCGATAGAGAAAAAGAGAGAGAGTGGAACAGTGAGAGAGCGATAGAGACAAAAAGAGAGAGAGAGAGAGAACAAAGAGAAAGACAGAGAGAAAAAGAGAGAGAGAGAAAGTGCGCGTGCGAGAGAAAAGAGAGATTGTGAGAGACTCATGCAAGAGAAAGAGAGAAAGACTGAGCGATAGAAAAAAAGGAGGGGGAATGTGTGCGGTGCGCGCGCGTGAGAGCAGAGAAAGTGAGTGAGTGAGACGGAGGAAGTTTAAAGCTCAAGTTTATTTTTATCTTTTGATCGAAACTAAGAATAAAATTTGGTCTTAGACAGGAAGGAATTAGAAAACAAAAGTAGTGATAAAAATTAAGAGGATTGAGTTGATGTTGTGTTGTTACTCACTGAAGATGGCGCAATGCCGAATCGAGTATTTGAGTGAAGACGGCCCAATAACTGACAAGAAGAGGATAGATAGATAGATACATTGTGTGCCAATAAAAAGCGAAAAACGAACGATAAAAGAGTAAAATAAGAAGAGACGAAAAAGTAAAATAGTGGAAGGTAAAGGGATTATGATGTCCAAAGATAGAGAAATAAAAATGGCTGTAGTTGGAGAGGAAGAACAGAGAGAAATGGAGATAAAAGCTTGAGAGAGACATTGAGAAACGTAACGGTGTGAGAAAGAGGAAAGAAAAGTGAGTAAAGGTGTAAAGTTAGTGGGAAAGAGAACTTGTAAGATGCGCATCTAAACAGAAAACAAGCGAAGCTAGGCGTTAAAGGACATCCATTTAAATGTTATGCGCTTGTGGTTAAAGGACTAACGTATTGTAGAAGGTTTGTTGTACTGATTAATATTATTTTAACTAGTGCACTGAATTGTGGAAAAATAAAATAATGAAAGGCCAGTGGAGTTCGGTATAAGTTTAAAGTGACTAAGTCCGATGAAATTTGTTAAATTGGATACCGTAGATCATCCTTGCCTGACCTTGGCAATTGGCATGGAACGTGCTAGTCGAATTGTGGTATCCAAACCGCAAATCACTGTTTGGATCTACATTTACCCGTGTTTATCTATCCGTCCGTTTATCTCCTTTTCGTTTTCCCACGGGACCGTACCGGCGGAAGTAATCGGTTTTTTCTCCCACCGGTCAAAATGCCTTAATCCAATCGTCCCTTGTTGGGCAAATTAACGGATTTTCATAATAGAGATCCGGACGATTTAGAC